CAGTGAATTATAATAAAATCTCTGCTGAAAATATTAGGCGCCTCAATGAAATTTCTAGGCACCACGGTGCCTGGAACTTATCAAGCTACAATTAACAAACCAACTTCAAACCGTTGATGCAAATCCTGGTTCAGTACCAACCAACAAACCAGTTTGTTGATCCATCTGCGTTTACACACATCACAGCTGACCAAGGTTTGAGAAAACTACAGTTCATCATAAGATCTATGTTCAAATGAGACGAGGCATCTGACATGAGTTGGGTCTGAGACTCTGATCATCTCAGTAGCAAACATCACCTGCAGGAAATAAATTCCCCAAGCATGCTGGATTCAGACTGGGAGGAGGGGGGCCTTCAGCATCCCCATGCCACTTCCTGAACGGAAGGAGCCCTAATAGGTGTTGTGGTGCTGCTTGTGCAAGGAATACAAGGCACATGAAGTGCACATGCCAGGCATGCATGAGAAGTGTGCATGCCAGGACTTCATATGCAGGAGGACTGGACTGATCATGTGCACATAACAGTTGTGCATTTTCTACTACTTGTAGGACAGAAACTCTCCCCATATGTTTCCCAGACAGCACTGTGCTCCTCTCAACAGCATCTTCTGGTGGTCCCCAGCCCCAAAGATGTCCATTTAGCCTCAGCCAGGGCCTTATCCAGGTGAGATCTGGGCCCTGTGAGATCTGTTACAATTCTGCAGGGCCTGCAAAACTGAGCTGTTCCACCAGGCCTTTGATTGAGGTGGTGGATGTCCATACATAATGGCCTCCCCTACTCCCCACACCACCTCACTTTTCCCCCACATGGAGATAAGTTACAGGTGGTCAATATCTACTGCCTAACCTTTGATCCATCTGACATACATATGGGCTCAACCAGACTTTCTGGAAATTGCCATCTTGAAAATGTTTGTTGTCTTGGTATGATGTTGTGATTTTTACTCAATTTATTGGAGCTGTATTTTAACTGTTTTAATTGGTTGTTAACCTGCCCTGAGCCACTTGTGGGGGAGGGCGGGACAGAAGTATAATAAAATAAATAAATAAATAATGAATAAACATGTGCACCAGGGAAGTAGGAGATCACCAGCCAGCATAGTGTAGTGGTTAGAGCATTTGACGAGGATCCAGGAGAACCAAGTTCAGTCCCCTACTCTGCCATGGAACTCCCCTACTCAGTGACTTTGGGCCAAACACAGGGTTGTTGTGAGGGCAAAATGGAGAAGCAGAGAACAATGTACACTGCTCTAAAGTCCTTCAAGTTAGGGCAGGATAAAAAATGAACTAAATAAATAAACTGAGTGTATATGCTAAAGCTTACATGAATTATTATAAACAAGAATTCAAATCAAACAGGGTTTGAGTCCAGTGGCACCTCTGAGACAACAGTTTTATTCAAAGTGTAAGCTTCAGACCCACACAGCTACCCACCTGAATAATTCAATTCGTAAGAATTAGGTTTCTGAAATTATCAGTGCTTATGTGACAAGCAGAAATTTAGCGGACTGAGCATTCACCATGATTTATCTGAGTGCCCCGAAACGCTCCCTCTGTGGAACTTCTGCTGGATCATGCTGCTGTGAAAGGTTCATAAGGTCTAATTTTCTGGAAAAGGATAGTGCAGATAGTCCACAATTGTTATAAAAGACAGATGCTAAATATACTACAGAACAACGTCCGAGTCCAATGGCACCTTTAATTCTGGGTATAAGCTTTCGTGGGCATGCACACTTCTTCTGATACATTGAAACAAGACTTCCTCAACCATTACATATAGGTCTTAAAGGTGCCACTGGACTCAGACTTTGTTCTGTTGCTTCAGACCAAAACTTGAATCTAAATATACTACAGATTTCTACAGTTTATGAAGGCTGAGGAAATCCTTGTAAGCCTCACAGATACTTGCAACATTTTATAACTCTCCATATAAAGCCCACAGGCTTTTTACAGAGAACTGACTCTTAATCAATTGATCCTAAGTTATCTATTAACCATAATCCATTGCCTTCATTTATAGCCTACTTTTCTCAATGAGACTCAAGGCAGAGTACACAGTGTAAGACAATGCAGTCAGATGGCACAATATAGCCAACAAACAATGCAACAGGATTAGGATCACAAAAATCATAAACAATGCAAAAAAGTTACCTACACAACCATTATTAAAACAAAACCAACGAACAAGGCAGATACAGACAAATGCGTGTTAATAGTGTGAAATTATTAGCAAGTTACCTAGTTACAGATCTCAAAGAACAGAACGGCATATTACTCAGACTCTCCACCAAGAAAAGCAGCATCTGCAAAAATTCTGCTTGTCATGCATCATGTTTTTTTTCAAGTATAGTTCCTCAAAGAAGTGACTTCTGAAAGTAAGCTGTTGTAGAAGATACTGGACTCTTCCACAAAGTGAGAGTTACATACATTTTAGAAGCTACAAACCAAGCATCTCCACTCCTGCAGAAATGAAGGTTTAGCTGTCAATGTTTAAAAGGCCAAACCGCTCTTTCTGAAATAGCAGCCTTTGTATATTCAGCATGGGCTCAGAATGCCAGCAGTGGCAGGAACCCTCCTGTCAGGAACTTGGTAGCAGAGAGAGAGAGAGAGATAGGAAGCCCTGGAGTCCTACAACTTAACAAAGCACACATCGGATGACTTAGTAGGCCGAGTGATGAAAGCACCTGTTATAGAACTTTCTGTGACCAAGGAAACTCACTCTACGTCGCACCCCGTTGCCTAAGTGTGCCTCTGCAGGCTAAATAAGACCTGATTCCGCCTCTGGGAGGCTCTCCGGACCAGTCAGGAGTCAAAGGGCAAGAAGAATGTATTTATTGTTGACACCGCATCTTCCTTCTGCAGAGTATCCGAAATGGACACTTTTTTAAAAAAATCGCTAACAGTTATTAAGAGGGTGACCCTACTTTAACTTCACCCCAACCCTAAGAGGTCAGTTCATGCCCGCGATGTTTCGCAGTGCGAAGAAACCAGGTGCCTCTGAGCATGTGCTGTCTGCCACCACCACCACCACCACTCCCACACCACCACACACACGGCCCCTCCACACACTGGAGAACGCCATAAGATTATGGGCCATTCATTCCCTTTACGCTTCCCTTCAGAAGCCAACCCCGGGGCAGCCACTACCGGACCAGGAGACACGAGCATGTCCCCGCACAGCCACCACCTCCAATATAGGGAGTCGTGGCACAGCCCAGGCACGAACCACACACACCCGCACGCGCGCACGTCCTCCGCCTTCCGAAGGGCGACTGAAGACAAGCCGGCAACGTCACCCGGGAAGGATGAGTGGGCGCGTGCGGGACAGGCGGGGGGGGAGGGGGGCGTTGAATGGAAGGGGGGAGCCTCGCGCACCGGGGGTGGGAAGAGCCGCGCGGGGGCGGGGCTAACGTCCAAAGAAGAATCGTATCCATGGATACGGGAAGTCTCCCTCACACACTCAAGAGCCCCCCACCTTTCCCCAAGGCCTGGCCTGCTGCCTCACGGGAGGAAGAAAAAAAAAAAAGAGGAAAGGAGTGAGAAGGCGGCATCCCTCAGGCCACAACGGCTCTTCGGGCCTCCGAACCGCCGGGCAACCGCGGCCCGAGCAGCCCTACTGTCCCGCCGCCCCGCTCTAGAGCCGGCCACCGCTCACTTACCATGGTCGGTCAGATTCCAGCCCCCCTCCCCAAGCAACAGTAGCAGCGCCGACCCGCGCCCCTGTCATGTGACCTTAGAGGCCGTCACTCCACTCCACGCCCCCAGCACGTGACTAGCGCCACCCCGCCCCTCGGGGTGGCAAGAGGGAAAGGCCGGAGAAGTTGCGTGGCCAGCGTTGCGCGGGGGAGGCGGTCGCTAGAGGGCGCTCTCTTCGCGGGGGTTGGGAAACAGGTGAGCCGGGAAGCCGCGAGTCTCTCCTCCCGCGTTCCTCTGTCTCCTCCTCCTCCTCCTGGGCTGACCGTGTGGCTTGACGCCGTGCATCGTAATCCCCCTGCCTTGTTAAACTCGGAAGTAAAAGCCATGCTGAACTCAAGGGGGCTTGGGCCGTACTAGTCACACGCCTAGGATTGCACGCACGGGCGCCTGCCTTCCGCTCGTTTGCGCTTATTGTTTGCCTCCTTGTTTTTGCACCAGTTCTAACGGCCGTGGTATATCCCGCGATGTGATCCTTGACAACTGTGACATTCGGCAAAATTTATTCAGGATTCTACATGTAATGCATCTATTGTCCACGTAAGAAGGTCGCGTTACTTTTAAAAAATAAAACAGCGTCCCAATATCTGCTTACAGTGCAATCCTTTAAGTAAATGGCATTAAGGTAAAGGTTTCCCTTGCTCGAAAACCAGTCGAATCCGACATTAGCTACCCCCTAATCCTCGTGTTTGCGACTGCGGCCTTGGGAACAAGGCAGTCCCATTAAACATACAGGAACTTCTGAATAAGTGTCAGACTATGTGTTGTTCTTAAACTTTGCTTAAACCCCCCCCCCCCATGATGCCTGCAGTTCTAGATTGCATATAAATTTTACATAATGTTTTACAACTAGGAACAGTGTAAAAAAAAATCCCAGTAGAATTGTTGTTGTTCAGTCGCACAGTCGAGTCCGACTCTTCGCGACCCCTATGAGGCAGGCCTCGGTTCCTGCTGGAGCGCACTGGAGCACCGCTCCGCTAGTCAGGAGCCCAGGGGACAGGCACATAAACTCCACCCCCTGCTCCCACCAGCCATCAGTTGGGCAACCGTGGGGGGGAGAAAGTAGGGGCAAATTCCACCTCTCATGCGGGAGGACATTGTGGCTCCCCCAGCTCTCCTTAGGGGCTCTTTTAAAAGTTATGGCCGCTGCCGCTGTTCTCGGCGGCGGCAACACCCACGGAGGGGGGCAGGGCGAAACGTTCTCCCTCCTCTCTGAGCCCTGGGGTGGTGGCCTTGGACTCGTAGGGACAAATTCCACCTCTCGCGTTGCCGCTCGGACATCAGCCATACATTTTTAAAGAGCCCCTAAAGAGAGGTGGGGGAGCCAGAATGACCTCTCGCGCTAGAGGTGGAATTTGCCCCTATGAGTCCAAGGCCACCACCTCGAGGCTCAGGGAGGCAGGAGAACATCCCCCGCGCGGACGTTGCAGCTACCGCTGAGAACAGCATCAGCAGTTATAATTTTTTTAAGCGCTTTGAATTATTTTTTATTTTTATTTATTTGATTGCTATCCCACCCTCCCAAAGGCACAGGCGGCAAAGCCAGAATATAAAATACAATAAGACATACAATAAAATACACATTTAAAACCACAGTAAGGTTTGAAGGAAAGCTGGGGGAGCCAGAAGGACCTCTCGCGTGCGAGGTGGAATGTGCCCCTACGAGTCCAAGGCCTCCACCCCGGGGCTCAGGGAGGCACCAGAACATTTCGCCCCGCCCCACCCTGCCTCCCGCGGGTGTCACAGCTTCCACCGAGAACAGCGGCGGTGGCCATAACTTTTTAAAGATCCCCAGGGAGAGCTGGGGGAGCCAGAATGACCTCTCGCGTGTGATGTCCGAACGGCAACGTTCCTGGACATCACACGGTGAGTGGTGGAATTTGCCCCTACGAGTCCAAGGCCACCACCCCGGGCTCAGGGAGGCGGAACAACATTTCCCCCCCCCCGGGGCGTCACAGCTGCCCCT